CTCGCTTGCGGACAAGTCGGAGAAGCGGAGCCAGGAGAAGGCGCCACTTTCTCGAGCGGATGTCTCAATGTTGTCCGGACTCCAGATGTTCATCAGGTTGTCGAGATAGTGCCCCTTGAATCCGGCTTTTTGGTTGTCGGATCCTGCAAGATCCAGGCGACCTCCTTCGCGGCCCACAAGACGCGGCAGAGAATACTCGATCAGGTTGCGAGTTGAGTAACCAACTCGTACATTCTGACCTTCTCGAAGGAACGATGCCGTCTCAGCGAAAGAAGCAAAGGAGAAGGGAGACCAGGTCTCTGCTCTCTCGAACAAGTCGGGGTGGTTACAGACTTTCCTGAATTGCATGACCAGGTTCATCAAAGTGGCGCTGTCCTGCTCATCTCCGACTGCCTTTTCGACCAAGTCCATAATGTTGATCTTGGCGCGTAGATTGGCGTAGTAGGCGCGCTGGCGATATGTCAGGTCGCAGTAGACATCCAGCTCAATTTTGTCTCCAAGCTCTTTCTGCACATGCTTCTTGACACGACGCAACATGAACGGCTTCAGGATCATGTGCAGACGCCTCAGCTGGTCCTCGTTGAGTTTGGTATTACTCTGTGCGTGACTCTCAATATCCTTGGAGAACCACTCACTGAACTCATCGTGAGAATCGAACAAACTCGGCATAATGAAATGGAGAAGTGCCCATAGTTCTTGCATGTTGTTCTGAATAGGGGTACCTGTCAGTAGCAGTCGGTTACGCGAGTGGAATCCAAGCAAGCTCTTCCATCTGGAACTCTGCGATGACTTGATAGCCTGAGCTTCGTCGAGGATCATGTACTGCCAGCGCATCTTCTGGAAATACTGAGCATCCTGAACGACCAATTGGTATGAGGAGACGACAACGTGGAAGGGCGAGTCGCGGGTGTAGGTAACGTGCTTGCGGTCCCAGAGCTTACGGAGAATCTTTCGGTCCTTGGCTGTACCCCAGTATGGAATAACGTTGAGATCTGGAACAAACTTTGCGATTTCCTGCTGCCAGTTATGCAACGTTGATGCAGGAGCGATGACAAGGAAAGGTCCCCAGATGTTGTACCTTTCTGCAAGATACGCCATGACAGATATCGACTGGACTGTCTTTCCGAGACCCATTTCGTCGGCCAGAATACCATTGATACCTTGCTCGTACAGGTTGACTAGCCAGTTCAGACCCTTGAGTTGATATTCCTTGAGGGTACAGCTGAGTAGATTTGGCTGAGGAATCCAATCTTCCTTGTTCTGGAGACCAGATGGGTTTTGGAAGTTCAGCTCTCCATCTTCGTCATCGTCACCAGACTTGTTGAAAGCACGGGCACGGTCTTGTGCCTCTTGGATAGCGTGCTGGGCATTTGCCATTGCAGCAGCGTTGAGAGCGCTCTCATCCTCATTATCGAAATCCAGATCCTCAAAGTTGGTGACTTTGGCAGCTGCCCCTGTTGGCATGTCTCCGACCTTAATACCAGGCTGAGCTGGTTGCTGTGGTGCTGCCGCGGCGGTATCGGCGTCGTCAGTCGACCTCTCAATCTCGTCTGTTCTGGCCTTCTTTCCGATGAAATGCGAGTAGAGTTCGGTCTGCGAGATAAGAAAGTTGAGCTTCCGCTTCTGTCGGTTGGCTTCACGATCGGCTTCGGCCTTCTTTGCGTTCTCCAACTCTTGACGCTCTGCATTCTTTCGCGATTCACGCTCGTCACGCTCGTTCCTCTTCCAGAACGCAAGCATCTCACGCATGCCTCGCTTCGCCCGAGCCTGCGTATCCTTCTGGTTCTTGTTGGTGCGCATCTGCCATCTACGTGCTTCTTTGGCAGCCAACTGGGCAGTCTTGCGAAGATTGGACTGTTTCGTAGACAATGAGTTCTCCTTGATGCGGACAACCTTGGGAACATCTTTGCGGGCCAAGTCCTTGACGATTTGGTGGTACAGATTACGATACACGGGCGAGTCGTAGGAAGTGAGCACGACAGGGCTGATGTCTTCAGTGTAGCTGCGGCCTCGTATCGAGTCAAGACGGGCCTCCTCGCGCGGAGCAATCATGGGGAGATCATCGCCACGGTCGAGAGCAGCTTGGCCTGCGGCTGCGGCATCCTTTTCTGCCTGCTTTTGCTCCTTGCTCTTCTTGAGACGGCCGTTGCCACGGTTGCCCTTGCGCTTTCCGCTTGGAGCGTCGTCAGAAGCCTGGAACGAACTCATCGTGCCTCCCTCCATGTTGGGACCATGTGGGGTAACCTCGCGGATGTCCTTGCTAGGAGCATTGCCTTGCAGAAGCTGAGTGGTAGTCTTGGCCTTGCGCTCAGCTTTCTGGGCAGCCAGCAAGTGTCGTTCCTTCTCCTCCTCATTTTCAGCTTGGCCAGCCTTTGCAAGAGCTTCAGCACGCTTAGCCTCTTCGTTCTGGATAGTCTTTTCCCGTCTTCGTTTGCGTTGCATGTCCTTCTTGCGCTCCTTCTCTTCGGCAATCTCCTGGCTCTGCACTTGCTGCCATGCATCGCCCTCATGCTCCACATTGTACGAATGCTTGGCGTAGTCGCGGTGCGCAGCCGACACATCCTGGAAACGGATCAAGGTTGCTGTCCGCCTTCGCTTGCGCTTGCTTGCTTCTGTAGCGGAAACCTCTAGGATACGCTTTTGGCACCGTTGCCTGTATTCTGCCTCTTCACGCGAGTTGATCAGGATGTCCATGTCTCCCATCTGCGTAGTCTCAATGTGTGCAAGCTGAGCCTCAACATCGGCTTCGTCAGGAGGTGGCAGTTCGCGAGTCGCAGATTGCAGTGCAGCGGGCTGTACGGTCCCAGGTACAGCGATGGCATCGTGCGTCGGCCGTGGGGTATAGCCGTTCTCATGGAGAGGCAGGTCAGCTGGCGCCGGGGATGCCATGGCCTCTTGCTTGACAAAGTGCTGGTTGGGCAGGGGCTTTGATGGTCGGAATGGGTCGGCGTTGACGGGAGCAGGCGGCGGAGGTTTGGACGGAGGCTCGTTATCCGCGCCAGAAGACATTATGCTCGAGAGCGACATGGGGTCGGCGCGTGTTGGTGGTGGAGCCTGTTGATGGGGGAGATGGCGATGAGCAAGAGTTGTCGAGTGGAGAGGAGAGGTGGGTTGACTTACCTCATCCTTGAAGGACGGCCGTCTATCGTAGGTCGGCGGCTGGACGGCACCGCCCGGCCGGTTCATGGATTGATAAACTGATGGCGAGACGGGAGAGTGTGACATGGTCTCCATGCCGCCGGTGTGCTGGTGCTGTGAATGGGGCCGCCGCAAGGGCGAGTGCTGGGGATATGAAGCGGCGACGGGCGAGTGATAGACCTTCTCGTAAGGGCTGTGGGCGGGTCGAGGGTCGTGGTAGGCGTGAGGGTCCCGGGGCTGCTGCGCGATCACTGTTAGGCGTGTATCCCTGAAGGGGGGAGATGAAGCAAAGGCAGGCAGGCAGGTAGTAAAAGAGAGAGAGGCAGAGAGGCAGAGAGGCAGAGAGAGAAGGCGAGGGTGAATTGACGCGATGCAGAGTGATGGAGATACGCACCTGTGCAGGATACTGGGGATCGTAACGCGCCGGGTCTCTGGCTACGCGGTGGTCGCCATTGTCCGAGGTCGGGTCGTAATATCTAGACGTGTCGCGAGAATAAAGGGCCGTGCTGATGGGCGGCAGCTCGGTCGAGGATGGTGATGCAGGCTGGCGGTGGTGTTGATGGGGCTGCAGAGGCAAGGGCGCAGGCGTGTTTGGCGAGTGGTGGTGGTATGGTTGGCCTGCTTGTGTGGGCGATGTGTGGTAAGCTGATGGCGTAGGTTCCCCTTGGTGCCCTGGCGGCATTCTGTCTGCTCGCGACCGCTCCTCGCCCTCATCAACCGACGGCCGCAAGACGGGATCGCGAAACATGGGACTGGGCGCGTGCAGGCTCTCTCAATGGGGCCACGATGGCTGCTCCATGGACCAGCAGCAGCGGGCTCTGGCGGTGGGGCGCGCCGGGTGCAAGGCGGCGACAGCAGGGTGAATGCGCCTCAGGCTTTGCAGTTGGCGATGGTCGGCCGGCGACTGGCGATGGATGGATTTGGATGCGAAGGGCAGCGGACGGGTGCGATGGGAGAGGGACGATGGGGGGCTGGTGTGGAGCAGCGCTGTCCAGATCACACACAGGCACGAAGGGTTGGCAAGTCAGCTTCTGTCTAGTGCGGCTGCGGCAGCTCTGTCCCTGGGGCAGCTCCGGGCGTGATGCAGACCCGCGATGAGGTTTGATGGCAGCGGCCACGACTCGCTGCACATGACGCCGCTTGTCCGACGGGGCGCTGCACACAATGAGAGCCGCCTTTGTGAATCCAGCGAGGCTCGTGGCGACATGCAGGCTGGCCGCTGTCTGCTGGGGGGGAGCGCTGCCTCTTCGCTGCCCACCTGAGCCCGCGTCTCTCGTCGAGGCATACACACGCCCAGATGGTGCATCGACCAATAATTTGCAGGCACACGAGCGGCGCCATCCAGCATGCAGCCCGGCCTGCGCGGCTGTCAGGCGTACTGTGCGTGTCCGCTTGCCAATGTTGCTGGTGCTGCCCGCTTGTTCAGCGATGCGGCGTGATGCCCGTTGGTTGCCCTCTGCAGCGACGTGCTCCTCGTCTTTGCCTCCGCCCGCCGCGTTGAGGCGTTGCCAACTTCGGCAAATCAACCACCGACCGACGCCTGACTACTACCATTTACATAGATAGTACTTGCATGCACTACCATCGCCGCCTACCCTGCCTGCTCTTTCTCCCTCTCCCTCTCCCTCTCCCCCTCTGCATCGGCTCATTTTCCTTCCTGATATGCCTCTCTGTCCCGCTACAGCTGGTCTACGGCGCGCGACAAAGCGCCATGAGCCCAGATGCACTCTAAACGGGGCAGGAGCGTTGGGACCTGCACTCCCTCATTGGGCGAGCCCTGCCAGCGATGGTGACGGAAGGCGCGACCCATGTCGGTGGGTCGTAGCGTGGCCAAAGCGTAGATCACGCTAAAACTCTGGGCGCTATCCATTCTCCAACTTTTTTCTAGAGCCGCCTTCACCCCGTGAGCAGCGCAAACAGCAGCATCAACACTTGTGCACAACAATGGCCTCCGTATACAAGACGCTGTCCGGTGCGGACAAAGAGGAGAAGGACGTCGGGGTCAAGAGAAACAAGCAGCGCGTCCTCATTCTGGTATAGTATTTGTCTACGTAAAAAAAGAAAAAAAATCTCCTGCTAACAAAATCCAGAGTTCAAGAGGTGTAACTTTCCGGCACCGCCACTTGCTCCAGGATTTGTACTCTTTGATGTGAGTTAGAGTCTAATCCTGCTTCAGAAACTTCATGCTGATCCTGCAAAGGCCCCATAGCCGAAAAGAGGCCAAGCTTGATACCAAAACGAAGCTCTACCAGCTCAATGAACTAGCAGGTACGAATTTCTTCCCAAATACCAGTCTTTTCGCGATGAGAAATCTCGCAGGCTGCATTTCTAATATCCTCCATCCCATCTTGGCTTCGATTAACCTAGTTAGAACTCTACAACTGCAACAATGTCCTCTTCTTCGAGGCGCGCAAAGGCAAGGATCTTTACTGCTGGATGTCCAAGCCTCCCAATGGTCCCACCGTCAAGATGCATCTCCAAAACTTGCACACCATGGAAGAGCTCAACTTCATTGGCAACTGCCTCAAGGGATCCCGGCCAATTCTTTCTTTTGACGCCGCATTCGACAAGCAGGCCCATCTGCGTGTCATCAAGGAGCTCTTTACCCAAATTTTCGGCGTTCCCAAGACCAGCAGGAAAGTAAAGCCTTTTGTTGACCACGTCATGGGTTTCACCGTCACAGACGGCAAGATCTGGGTCCGCGTTTTCCAGATCAATGAGAGCGAGCCAGGCAAGAAGAAGGCTGCAGACGGCGAAGAGATGGAAGTCGACGAGCCTGCGCCCAAAAAGAAGGGAGGAAAGGGAGAACTCGACGTCAGCCTTGTGGAGATTGGCCCACGCTTCGTGCTCACACCCATTGTCATCCAGGAATCGAGTTTTGGAGGCCCCATCATCTACGAGAACAAGGAGTTCGTGTCGCCTAACCAGATCCGTTCCGACTTGAGGAAGTCCAAGGCCGGCAGGTTCAACAAGCGGACAGAGGCGCAGAGGGATGCTCTGCTCAAGCACCAGGAGCTGGGACTGACGTCGCACGGTGGTCGCAAAAGGGAGAAGGATCCGCTCAGCGACAATGTTCTATTTGCATAATTCGTTTGCAATATTTTTTGGAAGGCAAAAAAGTGGCGTTTACGGGATGCATCTTACATGGGGCTGGCGTCAATTTGTTGGGCTTGGCATGTGCCTGCATGTATAGCGATATACCCAATAGCTATCAACTCGTGGGTAGCTCGTCTTGAGCGACCGCTATACACGTCTCTGTACGTTCGTATATTGATTCTAGGGTGCATTACACTCAACTACACTGGCTGCAGTCTTTCCTTTGTCATGCTTTTTTCTAGTTCTTCCTTGTACTCATCGTTAACACCACTAACCACAGCGATACGAACCCCATACAACGCCCTGAACGGATTCAGTACAAGTTGTGTCTGTGAAATATTGCTCTTGTCTTGAACCCGATGCACCCTACCGCTTGGGAACTTGACGCGACTGATGGCACCATCGATCAAGTGCACCTGCAGCCGGTGCAGTTGCGGAACAGCAACCAACAGATCCACAAGCTCCCGTACTTTGCTGTGTATGCCGGCTGACAGCCCGCGCCCGCCATAATTGTACTTGATCATGCCCGTATAGTCATCGACCGACTCGATATTTACAACGTAGTTCCTGATGCGCAGGAGGTTCCGCTGGGAGAAATGGTCTAGGAATTGATATGTTTGATTCGGCGTCAGGTTATTCGCAGTCCGCCAGCGGTACCGAAAGTTGATTGCACTAAAAGTCACATCGATCACGAACGTACTGTCGCCATAGAGTATGTCTGCCGCCTCTTCGTGCACCTGTCGCGACACGGCTAGAAGGGCGGTGCATCCACGCCGCCAGACAATGACGTTGCCTGTTTCACGGTCCGTCCGCGGCAGTGTCCGTTGCATACGCCAGCACCCATCGCCATTCTGCCGGACGAAAGTCAGATTATACTCGGACTTTGGGGGTGGGTCAATGGAGCGCTGCAAACACACATCGAGGGTTGTCGTGTGGGGGAGGACGAGACTGTATATCGCGCGTCGGAGCTCGATTGGGAGGCGGAACAGAGCTGGTGGATACGGAGATGCGGCATTCCAGTTCTGCATTGTTTCTTCGGGTACTGCCAGACTCCAGACTTGCAGACGTGGACGACGACGCGGTTTGCGATTCGGAGAGCGACATATCTCGCGGACGTTGACGCCATCGGCTTATCCTCCGCCCCTCGACACCGATTGGTCCCCACAATCCAGATTGGCTCCACTTGGCGCCATCTATCAACTTTATGGCTACGTCGTGACGATGACTCCTGATTGTCCTTTCAACCACCAACAATGTCAATGGCCTTTGGAAACGGCTCGTCGGAGTCTGCCATCGTTTGCACTATGTCCTCACAACATGTCAATGCGTTTTCTATCTATAGCCCCAAAGGAGGGGTCCTATCTATCTGAACTACGAGTCACGCGTCGGTGTAGAAGCAACATAGCTACGCGCCGATTGACTGATACATTACACAGCACGCTTGCGGCTGGAACACAGTGAAGAGAAGAAGAGACTGAATATCTGGGTCAATCTTTTAGAAAGAGATACGGATCAGTACCAAAGAAGGGATAGATATACATATCAACGTGACAGTTAACGTGTGAGTAATATACATGCTACTGAAGATACATAATCTGGGCCAGGTAGTTTTTGATGCTAACTTTTCAAGTCACAAGAAAAGAACAACCCATTTATCGGACGCTGTGCATCCACCACCAAAATGTTATTCGAAGACCTTGCCACAGAGCTCGTGGTACAGGTGTTTTTATCCTGCACCTCAGTCACCGATGTAACAGCCCTATCTTCTACCTGCAAACGTTTCCGCAACATCTATTCGTCCTCGCAAAAACTTGCCATCCTTGAATCCGCCGCCGAAGCACAATTCGGACCCCTCCATGACCTCACCCAGCTCCTCACCCACAACGCCAGCCAACCAGCCCACATCTTCCGCTCCGTTCCCTTCTCGCTCGCCCTCCTCACCCAAATTGTAACGTACGGCCGCGTAGCAGAAAAATGGTGCGAAATCTACCCCTTCAAAAAATGGAAACACAATTTCGAAAGCCGCCGCCTTTTAACACCCAACGAGCGCTATAGCCTTCGAAGAGCAATCTACCGCATCTGGCTCTACTCCTGCGCCTTCCACAACCCCGCTCACCCCCGCGAACTCCGCGCCACACGCCTCATCCTCCTCAAGCGCGCTGCCCTCCTGCACAACTGGTCCACGTGTGACCTCGCGGAGATTGCAGACATCCACAACGTCATACGCGAAGTCGTACAATCGAATATCTGTCCTTCCAACGGCACCATCGCTCGCAAATTCAAAAAGAGACACCCGGGAAATGAACATGGCCTTCTTTTCAACATTCATCTCAACTACCCGCCTACTGCCCCTCAAGCTTATAATCCGTTTACCACCTCAAACCCACTTTCCACTCATTTCAACAACACGAATACGTACACGTCTCGTTTCGCAGCAACAAAGTACTCGTTGAGTCCCTCGCACGAGGTCGGTGCTGAGGGCTGGGGCGACGATATTCCGCACTACTACGTTGTCGAGGATTACCTCAAGTTGGATCCTGCGCAGATTCTGTATCTCAAGGAGAATGCGCCGCTGAAAGGTATGGTCGAGAACTATGTGCGCAGTTTGTGTCACGAGTATGACTGGTTTTCGAATAACGGTGAGACGTGGGTGCAGACGCTTGAGTTTGTGCTGGATGAGCGCGGGGAGGATGTGGGTGAGTTTATGGATGCGATTGCGGAGGGGGAGTTGGGGGTGGCTGTTGCTGAGGTGGTGTAGATTGAGAGAAAATGGTGTATGTAGGTGTAGTATTGCTGATATGGATATACGTTGCAATTCACACTCGAATACCACGTCTTTTCCTCCTCATCCATGACCCAAATCTTGCAGAGTGAAAAATCCCCTACAAAGAAAAAGGAAAATCAACATCCCAAATCCTTGCCCCCTCCAACCTTATCCTCCACTCGCCTCCCCCTCACCCCTCAGCACAGGCACCAGCTTATCTTCATATCCCGACACAACCCACGTATTCTCATCAACCGTAGTATGCACCAAGCCCTTCAGGGCAAGTCGATCTAGATACTTGCGCACCATGTCGACATCAAGGCGAAGTGTAGCCGCGATATTGACAACGTTCTGCCCGATATATGACGTAGGTCGTGAATGTAAGTCTTCGGTAAGATACTCCAGAATACGAGTGGAAAAGTAGTCGTCATCGTCTATGGAGTCTTCATCGCCTACGTAGTCCGCATAGTCTCCATAGGTTTCATCGTATATATAGTCGTTGTTGTCTTTGTCGTCTTCGTCCGAAAGAGTTGCATCAGGTACAGTTTTGGTTGAGGGTACAGAATCCCCATGTGCATCTTGTTCACGAGCCTGGCAAGCTGCTTGCTCTAGGGCAGCTGCTAGGGTTGCTGCATCAGCGTTGTTTTGGCATTCGAAGAATAGCATGAAGGGCCTGTCTGGGGGTGTATCGCGTTTGCGGATATCTTTTACTATCACCTCGCTTTGGTCGTGGTGTACGTCAGTAGTGGGTATCAGGTTGAATGAATATTCGAATGAGCTGTTTTGAGAACCCATGTCGGGATGCTTGGTCTTGCGACTGATTTTGCGTATGTTATTGTGGTTGGTCTTGCGGTCAATGTGGACCGAGCTTCCGGACACAAGGACCACGCAAGAGTTGTGGATGAGTTGTGGTTTACTTGTTGTAAATTCTGTGAAAGCCACCTTGGCTTCTGCTGTTATGGTGGCTTCATGTGCAGGTGCGGGCCGAGACTCTTCCTTTGAGGCAATGGATTGAGAATCGTCTTTGGCGACAGTCGAACCAAACGAGGGATTCATCGCCAGCCCCAGAGACCGGGCTCCCGACTGTTTCGAGGCAGTCTCCTCAGCTGGTGGGAAATAATTCGGCAAAACGTTCTTGTAGATGGCCTCGTCAGTGGCCGAATATACGATGAATATTATCTTTTCCAGTCCACCCGGCTCTTTTGACTGGAGAAAACGCCTGACCTCTTCGATGGCAAGCGAAGCGCAATCACGGCGCGGAAAGCCTAACGTACCCGTCCCAATACAGGGTATTGCAACGGATTTGGCTTTCAGATGTGTAGCGGTATGCAGAATTCCGCGGTAGATGTTGCGTAGCACATTTTTGCTGTCTTTTCTGTACACATCAGGCGGGATGACATGTAAAATGTTCTTGGCTGGTAAGAGGTATCCTGGAGTCGTTTTAACATCACCTTTCTGACACACGCCGAATTTCTGAACTTCTTCTTGCAATTCTGGTCCGCCCTTTTTGAAGACAAGGCGATCCAGAGTTCCCATGCCTAGAAAAGATGTGTCGGTGGAGTTGACTATAACATCGACTTCGAGCTTTGTCATGTCCTCTCTTGCCAAACACACTATGTCGTTGAAGGTGGCAGATGAGTGTGCCATAGTACTCTTTGGTTTAATGATAGCATGCTGATACAGCTTCGTTACAGTTAAAATTTGATGCAGTTTGACCAAGTCCCGGCTACTAGAGGGAGTTGGTGTAGAGTGCTCGACAGACGCCAGATTATCCGGCTGATCGGGAGCATCTCCAGTATCTTGTGTGCGCGCTTTTGCCCTATATCCTTCTAGTGTTGGGCGCATTTGGGCCAGATCCAGATCATTCTGTTCCTGTGCCATGACACTATCCAGAATGGTAGTGAAGGAGCAACAGTTTAGTAGAAACTCCTTGAGGTTGGATCCATACCTCCCATTCATACCCCAATCAGTGATTTTCAGGATTTGCTGATAATTTGACACAGTATCTTGTACTTCTTTCGCTGTTTCAGTCATTCCTGAGATGCTGATACACAAAGTCGAGAGAACAGAGCAGAGCAGACCGATATCTTTTGAATGTTTCTCCAGCGTTCTGGGTCCCAATAACTCATTGTGAATCGAAGTTAGTGCGAGATCAGTCTCATCGAGAAGATCAAGGTATCCGATTTCGATCTCTGGTAGGATCTGGCTGAAATCACGGCGGAGCGCAGCAGTCGTCTTTCGTAGTTGCGCCTGTGTGTTTATCACCTGAGTAACCATTACCGCGTTATTTGCAGACTGGTCCGAACTTCTTGCCACGTCTGAAATTCTTGCCACGTCTAGATCACCATGTGTTGGTGGGAAATACACAGGGAAGAAATCCTTGTAAGCTTGCTCGTCCACAGCGGATTTCGCACAAAAGATGATGCGTTCAAACCGGCTTTCAGAGCGCGCATCCAAGTCCTCGCGAACTGCTTGAAGTGCTATACGTGCAGCTTGGCGTGGACCAAGGCCAGAGCCTCTAGTGCCCAGGCAAGGAAAGGCCACCGTTCGGACTTGAAGGTCAGCCGCTGCCTTCAAGGAATTGCGATAGCAATCGGCAAGAGTAATTAACTGGGCCATGACGTCCCCTCCGAAAGACGTCGGTACTACAGCATGAATAACCCATAACGAAGGGAGGTTGTGTCCGTGAGTTATCTCGACTTGGCCGAACTTGATTTGGGGTTTCGAGCTTGCCTCTTGTACAAGATTTGGGCCACCTGCTTCCATTATAGTGTAGTGCAACGAGCCCCGGGGTGGTGAGTATTTCAGGTCGACAGTGACGTTGTTGACAATGGCATCTACCTCCATCCTTGTCAGATCGTAGTTACAGAAAGAAATCATGCGATTGTAGGAATCGTTTGGTGCGTAGCTCTGGTCTAATTGTAACAGTCTTCGTGAACGGTATAATGACCGTAGTGTGGGAATGTCCTTCGTTTGAAGGATCGGCTGTTTTTCTGACCCATGAATGACGTCTAGATGATATGAGCTTTTTGGGTTATTCAGCTGATTTGATATCACGTCTAGTATGTTTTTGTTTGCATCAGGAAGTTGTCGTAAGTTCTCGGCAGATAGAAGATCGCGGCTGGGATCAACCTCCTGAATAGACTCAGACAGGTCAAACTGCAGGGTAGCTGTTGAACATGTCAGTTGGCGTCGTACATATGTTTCACGCTCGTGTATGTTGATGAACTTACGATGAGCGTTTTCTTTGCTCTTTTTTTGCCCGTTACTCATGTTGGTAGATATAGAACTAAAAGAAGATCTAGATGTACCACCGGGGCTCGGGATGCCACTGGCGCCATCTGAGTCGTCTTCCATACTATGAGGCAGAGCAAAAGTTGCGATTCTCTCCAGATGATTCGCGATGTGGCTTTGCAAGTCGCCTATCTCTTTGGCATCCGTGGATGCGCGGCATATAGGACATCTTTCTCGCAAGTCTACTGTAGTAGCCTCACCAACCTTAGCAATGGTCACCAGCTGGCTCTCTGGAAAGCTATCAAGATGCATTTGCCGAAGGTGATCTTCCAAGCCCAGCTGAGAATGGAAAACTGCAGCCGGATGCTCCGGACATCTCCACACTTTGCGGTGGCTTGCTTCGTGCTCGGCCCACTCTCTACGACTTCGGAACAGTTGATTCGAGCTTTCACAGTCCTGGTATGTACAGCTATACGGCTGTAAGTCTTGAAGCAGATGCGTTCTCCAGGCTCTCCCTTTTCCGTATCTTGCAGGGCAAACGATCCAACAATAGGGACATTCGAATTCTTTGTCACCATCGGCCGATTTTGGTGGCGGAGGAAGGTCGATGCCTTTTCCATGTACGTCTTTCACCGTTATGGCGTAGCTTGTTACAGATTTGGTGTCTACTATATCGTCCAAGGATTGGTGAAGCTGCGTTACCTCTGTCCCTGAGAGCATCGTCTTACCAGTCTTCTGGCTTGACACTTCTCTCAGGGCTGCAACTATGGGTACCGGATGTGCTTGTGGGATTTCGTCAGAGGCTGCCGCAGGTCTCTCGAATGGCGCTGTAACATGGGGTTCTTGCCCCTCGTCGGACATTGTAGAGGCACTCAATTTATCACGATCTGAACAGTTAGTTAGCTTCAGTTCGATGGATGCATTCTCAAGGACTTACGTCGTTTCCAGTACTTGAAGTGTCGCCTCCGAAGTGTAACAGATGCGCTCAACCGCTTGATCAGAAAGTCTTGATCTTCTTGCGCATCGTTGGCTACGTACGGTTGACGCAGATGCGACACCAACTCCTGGACATGCTTGAGGTCTTGCGCAGCATACATATCAAAGATGTCGATTCCCGTCTCTGGATCCTTCTGTGTGTAAGAGGATGCTTTGAGAGACCTTGAGCGTAGACCAGGAGTTCTGATGCGGACGCTAAGTTTGTAGAGGTTGTCGATAATGTCGACGATTTCCCGAAAGCGCATTTTCAATTCAGTTCTAGGTTCATCGCTGCTGCTATCATCATCGTCTTCTTCCGCACTGAAGAAGCCATCGTCATCGTCATCTTCAGTCATATCTGGGCGGGCCTGCTCTTCGTAAGGCAGGCGAGCCCCAGATGCCACTGCATAAGCTTCATTGACATTGGTTTCAAGCTCCCTAAGAAGCTTTAGCGTGTTGGTATTGGATACTGGTGAGTCTCGCAGCCTGTAGTCAAGCGAGCTGTGCCCTTTCTGCAGAGCGCCGAGGTTTCCAGCCCAGACACGAAACCTCCCGATTTCGTCTTCAAGTGCCTCTTCGTCGATTGCATGTGTCCATTTCCGGTCGCTGTTTTTGAGTGCAGTGGTCAGATTCTGGAAAGCGCGAACATTGGAGGCTGTTGCTAGTCTTAAGGAGGACATGACAAGCAATTAGCATGTTGGGGAAGGAGAGAACTAGGACTGGGATCCTCAGGGCAATTTGGTTTTTTGGGGTGTCGATGGCTCTCAACTTTATGCGTCTTCGATGAAGGTCGATGTGATGGTTTATTCGTACCGCCAAATGCTGGTGCCTCAATCGATATGGGGGGGGGGGGGGGCTCGCGATGCTACTAGAGTTTTTGTAGTTTGGTGGGGGCGCAGCTGAGGCTGTGTTTCGCAGGCAGCCGTTGTGTTCGTCTGTCACCTCTCTGCTCACAAATAACCCAGAGTTCTGTATAACATCCAGATAATCCTATAGAATCATAGTCACCGACTTTGGTCATTCAAGGTGGCCAGCGTATGTCACAGGCACGTGCTTCGACAGTAGTAAGCACCAGGCCCCACTTGTTCCTTCTCCCCCCGCGCGCCAATGACCCGCGAAGCCTCCTCTTGTTAGATACTATAGAGAAGCGCTGCAATGAGCGGCGTAGAGGTAGCTGGCCTTGTCCTTGGCTGTCTACCATTGATCATACAAGGTACGCAAAAGTCGAGTTGTGAGTGAGGGGTAACAACGAGCTCACAGCAGACTAGCAATTGAAAGCTACAATGAAGGGCTAGATCCAATTAAAGGCTTCTTTGGAAGGGATAAGGAGCTCCCTATTTTTATAAGAAAGCTGAGGGCTCAATATGATCACTACGATCAGACGATCCAGCTTCTCTTCGGATCCATCACGTCGGATGTTGAGTTTGCTTTAATGATGACTGACCCTGGGTCGTCGCAAGAACTTTGGAAAAGTAAAGAGGAGGCACTTCAAGACAAGTTGCAGACTACGTACAAGTCGTATCAGAGGACAGTATTCGAGATTGAAAAGATAACAAAGAAGATTGCAAGCAAGCTAGATCTGGACCGCGCAGCAGAGGTAAAGACCGGAAAGTAGTACGATGCTCGAATTGTGCTTATGTAAATCTTAGATTACACGAAATGATCTAGAGGCACTGTTGGCCGCAAACCCCAAGAAGGCCAACGACAAGTTTGAGATTAGAAAGCGTGTCCGTTTTGGCATGAACAAGAAGACGGTCAAGGCGCTCCTGGAAGAATTGGATGAATGCAACAAAAGCCTCGAGAGGTTCACAGAAAAGAGCGAGAAGATAGAGACATACCACCGAGCGACGAAGCCTTCGTATGCCTCGCGGCTGCAAAGACTACAGCAGTATGCCAAGACGTTACACGAGTCGCTGAGTGTATGCTGGTCGTGCTCATGCAAGTCATCGCATCGGACAAGCCTCCAGTTGGAGCTTCGGGAAGATGTCTTTGCTCCGAAATCGCAGAAGCAAATCGACACTCAGAAAACAAGCTTTAGTGTTGCTTTTTCAACCATGACCTCTGACGGAAGCGGTGTGCCGTGGCTAGTCCAGACTGCAGAGATACGCGTGGAAGAGGAGGAGGAATGTCTCGTTCCCATAGCATCTCACAAACCAAGGTATGTATGAAGACGACGGAGACGTTTCCAATGGCAACGATGCATGCGTGCGCGCTAGCCATGAGATTAAGAGCTAACAGTGGTAGGATGACGAAGAGCGTCAGCTTCGGAACCCCTCCGCCATACGCAGTAAGCGACCCTACCAAAAAATCCTTTGGTCCACACCAAGAGGTGAAGGACTTGTGTGCATCTATTCAACAACTACACAAAAACGCTTCGAGAATCGGCTTTTCGTTGGATAGCAAAAGCAAGTTACGGGGCGCTTACCCATTGGATACAGCAGAAACATACATGCCTACCGTGGAACTGGTATCTCTAGAGGATCTGCTTCGACAGCCACCAGTCATCAACGGCAGACGCTCGAAGCTGAGCATGAGGGACAGGTATAGCCTAGCGTTGACACTAGCGTCTAATGTCTTGTATTTGAACTCGACGCCGTGGTTGGCCAACGAGTGGGCAGCTCGGGATATTATGTTTCACCGAACGTCGAATACTGCACAACCGATAAACATTGAGCGCCCATATCTAGCGCCCGCGGTTGTTGAGGCGGCCAATGGCACGGCGAGAAACATGCAGGCAGGCGGCTTCAGGAACACTGTGCTGATTGCTCTGGCCGTGGCTCTCCTGGAGCTGTACTTTGGGGTGACTGCTGAAAAGTATCAAGAGTACGAGACAGAAGACGAGGTGGGTGATTTGTCAAAGCAGCCGGGGCCGTGGAAGCTCTGGGCACTGGCGCGTAACTGGACCTCCAACGAGTCTGGGAATCTGTCTGCTGCTTTCCAGAACGCAATTCGGCATTGCATAACAGGGTCCAGTGATCCTTGCGCCAGTCTCGAGGATGCCGAGTGTCTCCAGGCAGCGGTGGAAAACATTGTTCTGCCACTGCAGGAGGAGCTCCACCAGTTCCTGGGCAAGGCGACAAGGTGAATAGAGCAGCGTAGTATAGCTTCAGTGCCGGGTCGGAACGGCAGCCGCTTACTCAACGCACATCACCTCGTATTCGATCCACCCCGCGCGCGGTTGGGATCTGACTCTGGGGTAAAACGAGACTCGCTACTCTTAGTGCGGCAGATGTTGTTGGAACGTCATGACTGAGGGGTTTGTGTAATTGTTAGGCTAAAATACTAGTTTGGTTGCGGATGGCGGCAAGGCGAGCAAGGCGCCATGGCAACAAGCGCACCTCACGGGAGGGCAGCGTGGCAAGTTTGGTATTGTAGAGTGAGAGGATGGCTTATCGGAGACGGCCACAGGCGGGTTGGAGGATTTGGAGAGTTTGGCGGGCACAGCATGGGCCATGTCTTGCACCTGCCACATGGGTAAAGTGTAGTCAGTGTACCTAGGTAGGTGTAGGGACATACAAAGATCCGGTTGGTTGGATATGTCGTGGGAGGGAGAGGCGTGTGATTGAAAGAGGTGCGACAAGAAGCTTTGCGTGGGCAGTGGGGCGTAAGCATGTGGAGACGATTGATGATTGTGACATTGCGGGGGTGTCTGTTATCTATCTGACATTATCCACTGCCACTGCGCACTCGACATGGTCGCTCGACCTGGCAGCAGAGGTGCGCATGTATGTGTGTGTGTCCCAGGATGGATGAGCACAGGCGATTTAGGACAACGTCATGGGCCATGGATGACCATGGAGGAGAAAGACAATTTAGCTGGGCCCCTAATGGAAATTTCAATGGGCATTGAAGATCTAGCGCACCGCCAGTGCACGGCTTGCATGAAGCGGGATAAGGCGTGCGCTGCATTGCAATGAGGATTCCAGGTTGATTAGCTTTGTTATGCTGAGCAGGCATGCGTGCCAAACAGGGCGCACGTAAGACGGGGTTCGTCGTGGACGTGGATGTGAGAGGCTGCCATTGGTGCCGGCGCGGCGGATAGTTTGATATAAATTTTTTTTCTTTCTTGCAAGCGCAACGCAACTGGTCTGTGGCGATGGCGGTGAAAATGCCCCGATGGGACGATTACTACTCGAGTACGTAGCTACTAGGGCGATAGTTGGCAAGCAAGCAGCAGGTTATGTTGTACACCGCCTAGGGCAGCGGGCCAATATGCAGCTTGCGACCGGGTTGCGACCGGGGGGAGGGGGGCGCAGGTGGGACAAGGAGCTAGAAGCGAGTGGCTTCGGCAAAGGCTCTTGTTGGCGCGCGCGCGACAGGGCACCGACATTGCTGAAACAAGGACTACACGTACGGTCGGACGAACGATGCGGAGAGCGGGAGGGATTAGCCACGGTGAAGGGCTGCTAACAAGGGACGAAGGGCGGGTGGTGTGAAAAGGAGTAGGCAAGTATGCACGCAGCCTCTTGGGCAGAAGGGGTGGGTGTACGCGTGTGTGGTATGTGTGTAGTGTGTAGTGTGTAGTGTGTGGCTGCGGCAATCGGGTTGCGGCAGCGCTCGCTCTATTAATGGAAATAACAGACATGTCGGGACAATTTTTCCAACGTCGGTCGGCGGTTTGGTAGAGACGGAAGCAGAAGCAGAAGCAGAAGCAGACAGGGCTTGGCTTGGTACATGTGCGGCTATGTACTGTAATGTAATGTACACATCTACTGGCTGGTATATGTAGAGTACATGTATCCAAACTATGTATGTATGGGCCTGTATGCAGCGGGTATGTACACCACGCCACTATAGCATAGCATGCATGCATGCATGCATGCACGCTACATGACGACAAGATTGGCAGACAACCAACTGCTGCTGCTGCTGCCGCCGCCACCACTACCACTGCCGCAACAACATTAACAACAATAACAACAACATTTATCAACAACCATAACAACGCCGCTGCATCCTTTCGATCCATCCATCGATCCATCCATCAATCAATCCATCCATCCACCCTCCCCCACGCCCCCCTTTCTGCTCCTCCGCCCCGACATTGCTGCGGCTAGTGGGTTTGAAGCGGCGGCCAGAATTGCGCACTCAACGCCCGCCAGACAGCCCAGGACCATCCTGGTCGAGCCTGGTCTTGGCACACCGGCACCCCTTAACGTCACCTTCGATTCCGTTTTCTCGACTCCCAATTCAAGCTCCTGCCAACCCTTACCCTTTGGCACGCCTTTTCACACGACACTCGTTCACTCAAGGGAAACACGCCCGCCAGCCCACCAGCGCAGAGCGCACCCGTCCGCTCCTTTGCTGCTGCTGAGCCTGCCCGACCACTACCGCACTTATACTCTCCCGCTCCCGCTGCCGTTCTCTGTCTTTCTCCCTCCCTCCCTTTCACACGCATCCACCACATATCCACCCACTCACCATGGCACAACAGTACGGCCCCCTTCCCTGCCGCCCGCCCCCAAGCCCACATGGCTAACACAACCCTAGAATCACGTCGTCCTTGAAGGACTTCTGGCACACAATGACTTCGTATGACCGACATGCCTCACACGACTCGCCCTATCGGACCGGCCGCCACATCCCCATCCCCCAGAGCCGCCATGCCGCCCTCACCTCCATCACCGCCAGCGGCGCAGAGTCCCGCACCGACCTCGACTCGCCCTACCAGCACGACGAGCTCGCTACCAGCAATGGCTTCATCGGCTCTCCCAAGGGCCCAATGTCCCCCAGCTCCCCCTACTCGCCTGGCATGCGTAGCTCCCTCAGCCGCCAGGCCACATTGGACTCGGACAGCTTCGACAAGGGCGCCAATGGCCAGATCCAAATGCAGGACTTCAACGAAGGCCTGCCTCCCCCACCGCCTGTCTCCCACTCGTGGAGGCGCATTGACCGCTGGGTCGAGGACAACTTCCAGGAGCTATTTGACAACATGTGCGAAGGATGCACATCCAACGACGTCAACGAGCTAGAGCACGAACTTGACGCTACCCTCCCCATGGACGTGCGCGAGTCTCTTCAAATCCACGATGGCCAGGAGCGTGGCGGTCTCCCCACCGGTGTCTTTTTCGGCCTCATGCTGCTCGATTGCGAGGAGATTGTCATGGAGTGGAGGAACTGGCGCAAGGTCGCCGACGAGTACCTGACTACAAAGGTCGACTACTCGACACCCCAAATCCCTGTCAAGGCCTTTGCCGGCTCGTCCACCACACCGCCCGTCGCCCAAGTGCAGAGCACCACAAACCCTCTATGGCGACAAGACCTGCTCGCTCGCCAAGACTCGCAACCGCCAAACGCTATACAAAAGGCCTACGCCCATCCTGCCTGGATTCCTCTTGCCCGCGACTGGGGAGGCAACTACCTCGCCGTCGACCTCGCCCCTGGCCCCAATGGTACATGGGGACAAATCATCATCTTTGGCCGCGACTACGACCGTAAATACGTCGTTGCACGCTCATGGGGCGCACTTTTGGCCATGGTAGCAGATGATTTTGCTTCCAAGGACGTGCACCTGGACGAAGAAACCAGTGAGTTGAAGCTCTTGATCTTCAAGCGCCAGAACGTCGAGCCACCCTATCTCGAGGTTCTCCGCTGGCGGTGTGATCAAAAGTACGGCCGCCGACCACCTAACAAAAAACGCCCAACAAGCGGTCTGCGCGTCAACCCAAACGCCCCGGGCATGGTCGTTCCTAGCAGCACAGCGAGCAGCCCCTACCACAGCCCCGTAATTGGCCCTGAAGATCGCGGTCGCAGCCCTCACCGTCTTTCGAAGCCGCCAAAAGGTGTCAGTCCACGCGGTAAACTCTCCAGCCCCTTGGCCCGTGTGGCCGAGGAACACCCCCAACCGGTCCGTGTGAATACAAATCTCGACTCCAAGGCTAGCGTCCCCACTGAGAACCTCATTTCCGTCGATACTCCGAGACCGAGTGACGAGCTCTCTCAACCTCGCAACAGCCTAGGCAGCGACAAAGAGAACAAGGACACAAAGAGGACATCTTCATCATTAAAGAGTCCCACTGCTGTCGCAGAACCAGAAGGGCTGAAGAATGTCGAGATATAACAATCTCGCAGCAATCGATTCTCTCTTCAAACCATACTTCCCATTGACGATCTACTATTAGAAAGAACCGGCTGGATACCTGGCAGTCCAATACACATGACAGGAGTGCAGGCGTAGCATGGAGTACGATTCATCGCAATTTTGACTTGTGATGACTGCTCGGCGTATTGACAACATTTCCCATTCTCCAAATCAAACGGCGTTTTTTTCCCAACAATGCAAATCTACTGTTTTTTTCTTCTTCTTCTCTTTTACTTCTCTTCCCAGCACACACGGCCGCACCCGAACGTCTTGGGGGAGATCATTTCCCGCAATCTCGCAGACCTTTTGTCCACTGGCTGTTACCAAACGTAGACAACACAAGCCGTAAACCAGCACCACCAAAGCATGCCCCGTTAATCCTGCTCCTTAGCAACCCGCACATTACTGCTTTGGGCTTCAACTTCTCATCTGCGCACACCAAACTTGTAACAACAACATGTTTTTCCACTTCTTCTCCTTCAGCTCATAGCGCTGCGATGCTTGTCACTTTTGGCAGCACAACTTATCTTTTTTTTTCTTCTTTTTTCTAATCTTCTTCCTTTACAGACAATGAGTAGTCGTGGCTTGGTATGGTGTTCATTGGGGTTTTGCAGGGCTGGACAAATACACTCATGTCCTGGAATGGGGGGAATGTTTGTTTTGGAGTAGTGGAATATATGAGTAAGGGAGGGACGAACTTTTTTTGCTCTTCTTCTTTACCATGTGGGCTCTCAACACCTCCTGTACACATGAAGGAGGAAGAAGAGGCTTTGATAGCTTTGTTGTTCTCTTATCTTATCTTCGCTTCTCTGTTTCTTGGGTGTGCGTGTGGGGGGTTGAGGTAGAGTTATCGGACAAATACGAGGGGGTTTGGGGTGGTAGTGGTAGTGGGTAGTTGTAGAAGAAAAAATGCATGGGAAATATTCACTCGTTAGAATCTGGTCCCTCTTTCGTGTACAAGTTGTCGTTGTAGACTAATAAGAGTAGTATCGTCATTATCCTTGTTGGTAGTGCCAATTTTACATGACTTAAGAATTCATCATCCCGTGAGATAATACCATGACATCCAGGAAAAGAAATCGCAATATTTACACATCAAATCTCTTTCTTACTCATACTACTAATATACACATGTACAGAACCGCACTCCTATACCTTCTCAAAAACCCCCCTATACCTCTCTTTCCTCGCCTCAACCTCCTCCTTCAACCTCGCCTTACTCTCCTGCCTCCCAACACCCTTAACATACTGCAGCAACCGCAACGCCCCCGTCGGCGTCATCCCCTCGACCCGCCTCGCCATGCCCACGCTCTCTGGCCTCGCAGCCTCTAGCGCGCGCTTCTCTTCGAAGCTCAACCCGAAAATAGCCTCGTAGTCCAGATCGATAGGTAATTGCAATTTCTCGTCTTTGAGCCAGCGCGCTTGCGAGGCGGTTTGGTAAGCGACGTAAGGGGCATATGTGGCTTCGATGTGGACGCGGTGACGGATGTATGGTGTGAACTCGTGGATTTGGGGGAGTAAAGGGGAGAGCGAGTCCGGAGTGGTGTTGGGGAGGCGAAGGAGATCGTATGCTGAGCGCTTGGTGCTGTCGTTTCTGACTGCGAAGCCGTGTTTAGTCCAGTCGGTCCAGCCCATTGTTTTGGATTGCAGGATGGCGGTTAGTACGGAGATTTGTGCTGCTTCGTCCTCGAAGGCGCGCCAGCGGCTGTCGCTGATTATGCCGGCGGCGCGGCCGAGGGGCGTGAGGCGCGAGTCTGCGTTGTCGGCGCGGGCGGACATGCGGTATTCGGAGCGGGAGGTGAACATGCGGTAGGGTTCTGATACACCTTTTGTGATGAGGTCGTCGATCATGATACCAATGTAGCCGTCTGCTCGGGTTAGGACGAGAGGGTCTTTGCCTAGGCTTTTGAGTCCTGCGTTGATACCGGCGATTACGCCTTGGCCGGCGGCTTCTTCGTAACCTGTTGTTCCGTTTATCTGGCCGGCTAGGAAGAGACCTGAGATGTTCTTTGTCTCTAGGGTGGAGCGTAGATGCCTTGGATCAACGTAGTCGTATTCTACGCCATAACCAGGTTGCAGCATGGTTACGTTTTCTAGACCCTTGATGGTCTTGAGCATAGTGTTTTGGACATCTGCAGGTACAGTACAAGAGATACCGTTTGGATAGATAATGTCATTGTCAAAGCCTTCGGGTTCCAGCCAGACGATATGCGAGGACTTGTCAGCAAAGCGTATGACTTTTGACTCCAAAGATGGACAGTATCGTGGGCCCTTGACAGTTTCCCGTATATGTATCGACTTGTCGAGATTTTTTCGTATTACATCGTGTGTCGCTTCGTTTGTTCGTGTCTCGTGATTCAGTAGTTGATTCTCCACTTGTACGCGGTCGTTCAAATAGCTGAATGGCATCGGCGGATTATCTCCTTCTTGCGCTTCCAGAACCTTGTAATTGATTGTCTTTCCGTCTAATCGTGGTGGTGTCCCCGTCTTTAGCCTTCCCAATGTGAAACCAGCCTCTCTTAAACTCTTGCTAAGTCCGAGTGTTGCGGCCTCGCCCATGCGCCCAGACGGATATGCTTCAAGTCCAATGTGTATTTCCCCGCCCAGAAACGTACCAGTGGTGATCACTACGTTTCCTGTTGGTATGATCTCGCCGCTCTCCAGCCTAACGCCAGTGATCTTTCCATATGTTCCCTTTGAGCCCTCCTCTTGTGTCCGATCCACAATGATATCCGCTACGCTCCCTTCCAATACACTCAGGCCCTTGTACGACAGCATTTCGTCCTTCATGTATCTCTTATACAGTGCCCTGTCAATCTGCGCTCGTGGCCCCCAGACTGCAGGTCCCTTTTTTCTGTTCAACACCCTAAACTGTACACCGGCTTTGTCCACTATTCGACCGACGACACCGTCTAGAGCGTCAATCTCGCGGAGCATAGTGCCCTTGCCGATTCCGCCAAAAGAAGGATTGCACGAACATACGCCGAGATTTTCAACCGAGGGCGTTACGAGGGCCGTTCTTGCACCGGCGCGTGCTGCTGCTGCCGAGGCTTCACAGCCTGCATGGCCACCTCCAATGACTATTACATCGTAGGGTCTAAGATATAGTCAGACGTGGGCGACTAGCGGGGTAGTGAGGATGCAGCGACATACCGTTCAGTGGATGAGACCGTCGCAAATGTTCGATGACTTCGATTGAGGCGCCTCATCGACCGCACACGAGGCGCATGCCCCCATAGCTGACGCGCTGGTAGGCGTATAATCCTTTGCATATTGGAGAAGTGTGTTGTTAGAGTCTTGTAGTTGCGCTACAAAAAAGTTGAGGCGGCCTCTCGGAGGTCTTCGTTCGCCGCATTTTGTGTCTGTGCTCAGGTGGGTAGGTACATAGAAGTAGCTTAAGAATAATTGCTGAAGTGACGTTGACACGTGCAAAAGAGCATGTAAAACCAATTCATAGCTGCCGCCTGTTTTCAAAATCATGGTCAGGGCTAATCAATGCATTACAAGGAAAAAGGTATCATTCGGAAAGCATTGTCGCCAGCCGCTTTGAGCGGAGAGATCATACAGTAGAAACGTTCAGACAATATTCATACACTCTGCTATCCTGAACCAAGATTCGGCAAACAATTCCTACTGCGGCTTGCAAAGGCTGTCGCCACTACCATTCGCAACTGCGTGTGCATTGACCTTGCCACGCCACCCTCTTCCAGTCAGCTTCCGAATTTAAGACATGTTGCGCAAAGTAACATTGATTCTACATGAGAATTGAAGCTGTGCATGTCTAGCCGGAAGCCTCCTGGATGAGACCCTCGTCGTTGGTATCAGGCTCGTCGCTGCGGGCGCGCGACAGCACGTCAAAGTTACCTAGCAGAATTGTTAGTAATGACTCCCATCCTAACATTAATTCTCGTGACAAAAACGTACGGGCGACCAAGCTCAAGTTGCTCTTCTTGTTTCCCTCACTATCGAGATATGTCTCCATGCGCGCATCAGCATCGACATAGAGCAGCGAGCCCTTGGGCACATTCATCAAGAAATCCTTCTGTGCGCCCTGGACAAAGCTAGCAATCCGGAACCAGCTGGTCTTTTTCTCTTCACCCTTGCCGTAGCTGGTGCCAACCACGTAGCGCACCAATGTTCGGTCTCCGGAAATGGTAACCTCTTCTGGTGCAACTCCCAGGCGGCCGACAACAGTCATGCGGGCAACTTGCGAGGGGCGAGTAGAAGAGAAACTGCGTGTGAAGGCGGCAGTGACGGGCTGTGCGCGCACGGCAGTGCGGATGGTGGAGGTGAACATGTTTGCCGGTGGTGGGAGTTGTCGAATTGGAGAGATTGTCTGGATTGTCAGGTAGTTAGCGGCGAAGTTTATGTCAGTGGTTGTTCGGATGCAAGAGAGTGGGGTTGTTTGCTAACGAGGGGGGCGCGACGTGGACGCGGTTGTGCGACAGAAATACACTTTGCTGTTTTGGGCTTGGGCTATAACCAATTGCAATGGTTCAACGCTACCTTGTGAGTATACAAGGTTGATATATCAAGACTAGTCGCCCAATGGATTGAAACATCGTACGCGCATCTGTTTTACTGGGCTGACCCCAGCCGTGTAACTGGGTATCGTATTGCTTTCATTACCGCTTTACTCTTTTGCTATCTCTCTCTTCTTCGCTATCATAATCTTTGTAGATGCCTACTGGCTGTGTCTTCTCCCATGCACCTGTGAAAATGGCCTTTTCACCTTCTTTTGGCGCATACTTGAGCAGTGCTTCTCTGGGATCCTCATCCCTCATATCACTACCCGCAATCTGCTCCATGACATATTTCTGATCAGGCGTAGACTTGGCAAAAGGCGTCGTAGCGGGAATATGCGGCCTTCTGGGATCTCTGCTTTTGCCTGATGCTGTGAGGCCAATAGTAGGGTGGCGCGCTGAGAAGGATGCCGCGTTGCCGGATGGATCGTGGGGCTCGCCTGCCATACCTAGCGGGTCCATATCTACTGTGAGGGACGGGTCGTCGTCAACGTGTCGCTTCTTGGGCTTTTTACTCAGGATTGTGAGGGCGCCAGCGTTAGATAGCTTGGGATTGAAGAGAATAGTTGTTTGACCATTGGCCGAACCGGTGAGGATTTGGTTAAGCTTCGGGTGCCAGTTGACCGTGACTAGAGGCGAGCCTGGTGTTACAGGCGTGACCAGCTCTGGACGAAGCGTCGCTGGATTAAGGATATGCAAGTGGCCAGTTCCAGATCCTGTAATTATGCTTTGCATATTCGGCGCAAACTGGATGTTTGATGTAGGGAATTGTGACGAGGTAGAAGGGTGTGATGTCGTGTTCAGAGGTGCCTTGAATTTTCTCGTGTCCCATAGCTTGATCGTGTCGTCGCCGCCTCTTGTGACCACTAACCTCCCATCCGTACTGATATCAATTCCACTCGTCCAAGTGTCTTTTGTATGTGCACCCTTGATTTCGGCTGTAGGACGATGGTATGGTCCTTCACCACCCCACATGACCAAACTTCCGTCAAGGGCTGCCGAGACTAGCATACTGCTCCCTCCTTCAGCTGCCGCGCCCCAGGCAATAGCTGTCATTCTGGTCATGCCCGCGCTGCCGGCAGCTCTGGATTTGTACACAATGACCTCCTCCTGCTTCATCCTCTTGTTGACATCCCATATCCGCACTGTGCTGTCCGTGCCTGCTGTAGCAAAACGATCGCGATTCGTCGGGTGCCATGCGCCGCTAGTAACCTCTGCTGTGTGTCCCTTTGTATTATGCTTGTCTCTCAAATACATGTCGCCCTTGACGAACTCGGATATGAGATCTCCATCCCGGCTGAAAAGCCTCGGTTGTGATGTCGCGGTTATGCAAAGGAACTGTCCTCCAGACTGTGGACCGAATAGGACCTGGTGTATCGAATGCGACTCGGCTGTCTGCGATGGCTTGGTGGTGAACGGGTCGACGGTTTTGAACGCGCGGATCGTACTAGGAGTGAGCGCACTCAGGTCGTGAAGCTTGAGCATGCAGTCATTACTGCCAGTCGCCAACCGCGTGCCAGAGGGATCGAGGGCAATTGTCGTAACTGCGCGATCATGCGTTTTGATAATCAATTCGTGCGACACCGGGAACTCGTCTTCTTCGTCACTCATATCGCTATCGTCATCGGAGTCTTTGTCATCGTCTGATTCGTCATCTTTCTTTGCTGGTTTGCTCTCGTCGACAACCTTCCGGCGTGCGCGTTCGATCTGGGCTTCAACGTCTACGGAGCCATCTTTTTTCCCAAACTGACTGGGCATGTACTGTTGGAGAGCATCATTTTCATCCGCGGAGAAATCCATTTTTGCTCTGTAAGCACAATAAGCAGAAGCTGTGTTGTCGTCTTGAGCTGAACCAGCTGTGAGAAAGTTCTAGGCGGAGGCTGCAGTATGACGCGCCGCACTAGCATAGCGCGCCCGGGTGATTGTGGGTCCAACTACCACCCGGTTTGGAAACATGCCTCATGTCGACATTACATCAACCTTTTGCATGAAACTTAGAAATATTGTGGCATACAATTTGTGTCACATACTCGCTATGTCACGCAATATACAACGATGTACAAGTGCTGACAAAGCTCTTGAGACATAGGAAACAGTTCTACGTAGGAATCTTACTACATGAGGTGGCCCAGTTCAGTACGCCTTGCCTATCGCCCGTGTACATGCACCCAACCAATAACCATGTAATAGAAATGAAATCATTCAGAACTAGCGACACTTGGTAATATCACAAGCGCACAACCTCAAGATTCCCTGGAAGACTGCTGGTATAAAGTCGTAGCCTCGGCCTACATGCTCGCTATCATCACTGCTTGAAGCAGCACACTTTGAACTTGTACAATATCTCCATCATGGCGCGTACTCTTATCGTATTCGGAGCTGGTTCTGGTATAGGTGACAATGTGGCTGCGGAATTTGCCCCCAAGGGCATAACCCATATTATTCTCCTCTCGCGTAACACAGAACGACTCCAGAATGAAGATGCACCTTTTGTCTCGAAAGGCAACTCTAATGTCAAGGTTGATACTCTACGCATCGATCTTGCAGATCTCAAATCGATTCCTAGTGTACTCGAGGAGCTTGATAGCCTGACCGAGGGTGAGGATGTGGAAGTCATTTTTTTCAACGCCGCGCGCGTCAAGCCAGGCGAGGTCCTGGGCGTGGATGTTGAGGAAATCGAGGAGGACTTCAAGGTAGGATCTCCTTCTCCCACATGCTCATCCACATAACCTATCGCGTAATATTCACTGACCGTTACCCCAGACAACTAATCTATCTCTCTACATCATCTCACAACATTACATCCCAAAGCTCCAAGGCCTCGCCAAATCCAACATCTCTCTCAAGCCTGCTTTTCTTGTCACAAGCAGCCACCTGCCATGGGATCCTATTCCGCAGCTTCTTTCACTGAGTCTGGTCAAGGCCGCGCAGAAGAACATGGTGGATAGCTTCCGTCGCTATTTTGGCGACGGTGGTATTCATTTTGGCTTGGTTCATGTCGAAGGGACTGTAGCTCCTGAGAACAAAGTGCTAAACCCTGAAACAATCGCCAAGAGGATAGTGGCATTTTGGGAAGGTGGAAAGGGCGAATGTATCAACATCAGAGAGGAGTGATGCACTGTTGATGAGAGGAAACTCGAAAGCTATATTACTCATTGAAATCATGTATGTTCAGTTAAGTTTGTTGTTTCATAGCAGCCAGAATGGAGAACTGTGGTCTGCGGAAGTTACGCCCTTTCTTTCAATGATTCGTCTTGTTGAACTCGAGCATTTACATATCCTACTTATAAAGTACTCCTCTTATATAGTTGCATGAGTTTTGGCTTGAGAGAATACTGATGTGTCAGACCGTAGTCACTGCATGGTATGCCAGTGAGGTGCTGTTGGTCTTGTATGAGTTATATAACTTTAAAATATAAAGGAACCAACGTATGTACAATATGCTCACATATTCCAGGTAGATTTTGATGAATGTAGCAATATGAATTCTCAGTATTACGAAGAAGGAATGCGGTAAACGTGTACCTGCATACGCCAGTTCGTATAAAGGCGATGCAAATGAACGTCCACTTCTCCATCCATCTCCGTAACTGTCTTCTCAGGGATTGTAGACCATGGACTCGTGTGTTGAAAAGATGGTCTTTTACATAAGCTTATGATAGCGTTACAAATGAAATGGCCAAACATGTGACCTACACCCTTCTAGGGTACTCCCTGAAACTCACTTCTCTATCACTTCAGTATCATCGATCATGAGTTCACACTGTAGTTTGATCGACTGAACAATAAGTCCGTACGAATTCCAATATTACAAGCAACCTTTGACTTTTTCTGTGATCAAAAGTATAGACAAGTTGAACAGCGCATTCAAGTATACACACCCTCATCTACGAACAAGCGAAGGAACAAGCAGCGAACAAACAAACAAACGTAGAGAAGAGTGCGCGAACGTAAAATTAGAACCAGAAGAAGGATCAGAAGAAGAACACGAAAAGAACCCCTCATAAAAGAATACATTGAATGTTACCATCACCCATCTCGATCGCGATCCCATCCAACATTCAATCGCGATCGAAAGGCACAATCCCGATCTAGCGGCGCAATGCAAGCAGCAATTTCTCTCATTATTCCTTCTTTGCCCTTCCCTGTACCCCTCACCTTTTTTGCATATGACCTTCCTTTTCCCGCAATCGCACGCGCGGCGCTCAACCTCCCGTCCGTTTATCGCGAGCTCGGCGCCAGGCACACCCGCACCCCGGCCCCCGCTCTAACCGGAGCCGTGGCGACGAAGCAAACGCCCCAAATATACCTGAAACACCCAGCCTCGTAAACCTGTGCTGTTCCTGTACGTGACCAACACCCCCCTCCAACCTGCAGTACCGTCTCCACACCAAGGCCCCCTCCGAACCGCGTGCACGACAAATCTCCAAGCACGGGCATGTCACCGTCCGTGAAAAAAACCTACTCCAACATTCTAGACTACCCCCTCCTCCCGGCAAGGCCCCCCAAAGCCACTATCATCTCATGTAAGATAAGCCCGCCCCAGAAGGCTGCACAATTGCGCAACCAAACACGTAGCCCAAAAGTGTACAGTAAAATAACGAGCAGCCCCAAAAGCAAACCAATCCAGAAAAGCAAAGTCAAGTTCAATTTTAAAAACACGAAAAAGGCGTATGTGTGTCAGCATATGGTAATCAAAGGGCGAGCAGAGTCGCAACCAACAGTGATGACGATGACGACGACTTTGTGTGACGGAGAAAACCGCCAGCAAACTTAATCATTTCTTCTTGCATACCTTTCTCTTTTTGCCAAATTACAATGTGAAGTAAAAAAAACTTTGAGACGAACAGTTCGAATACACCAAATTGCACAAGCACACACAGACGTGTACGGGAGATGTAAAATAATGAACGGGTTAAACGTATCCGCCCCGCATAACACCGTATATGTATCTACACACAGACAACAAAAGGCCGATCAAACACCTCCCTCCTCCCCTCAAAAAAACCCACCCGCTCGCACAAAATCTCACACACGGCACTTGCGGGTTCTTCGGCGCACCGGCACAACGCCCGCGCAACCGCAGGCTCCCAACCCCCCAAGCCGAAAAGGCAAAAAACGTGGCGAGACCGGGGGTGGGTGGATTGGGAGGGGCAAAAAGCAAAGAAAAAAAGGTAAAACTGTGCAGTGCAGCCGGTAAGATGTAACGGGATTGTGAAACAAAGGGTGGGTGACGGCGGTGGCGGTGGGCCGGCCTCCGAACGTGCGACTTATCCTAGTTAGGAGGAAAACGAGAGAAAGAAAGAGTATGTGAGAGAGAGAGCGGGGTACGGGGCTGGAAAAGGAAGGGAAGGACCGAAGAGGGAAATTTTGATAGAGAGATAACCGTGGTAGATATCATGGTAATGTCAGAAAAGAACGACGATGAGAAAAGTGTAACCTACACAGCCCTTTCCGCGATTGAATTTGTGAGAAAAACCACCGTTTCTCTCTCTCTCTCTCTCTCTCTCTCTTATCCATCCGAACTCTTGCCACATATTACGGGCGATGAGAGATGATGGAAGATTGAGCGAGAAATAACACCGGTAAACCCCTACGTATTGTACATAACAAATCAAAGATAAAACCAAAGATTGAAAGGGAAAACTCCCCTCCCCCTCAAAAAAACCACGTTGATTACAAAGACAAAAGACGGACGAAAGGATTTTTTTTTTAAAAAAAAAAAGGCTGGAAGGAGATTTGAACATCTTCTCCAAGAACTCGGACCCTCACGCCGGACAAATAAAATGAGGTCCTCATCAAACCAAAGGGGACATTCACGTACCTGTATAGCGAAAACGAGACAGGGCACAAGAAGAATGAACGAATTTCTATTTTTTTTTCTTTTGGGTTAAATGTATTTGAGTAGGAGTGTAAATGACTCCAAGTATTAAGCGTCGACACTCACCATATTGATACAACGATCCTTAATAGAAGGTAAACAAGACACATTTTGATGATGGAGAAAGAACAAGGTGTGAAGTGTAAATGTGTATATAATGTGTCTTTGCAACAACGACAACAGCTAATAAGGCTTTCCCTTTCTCCCCAAAACACCCCCATGACTTTTGTAAGCAAAACGATGCCGCCAAACAGCTAGGATATGTGTTTTCCCACAACCAACAAGAAAAGAAAACAAGAAAGAGCGCTCTGGCAGGATGGATGCGACAGGCAAGAAAGACCGAAGAAGAGAAAAGAGGGAAAAAATCGAATATAATCAAACAATGAGATTTGAAAAGCAGAAGAGAAAAAAGGGTAATCATGTTCGTAGTTGTCATGACCAAGCCTAACAAGCCAATATCCGGTGACGAAAACCGTCCGTTTGCTCAAACGGCTGGAAGAAAGAGGAAGATGGATGGAAAAAAGAAAACAGGATGGGATGCAATGCAGCACTTATGCCCCAAGACAGACTTCGGTCTAGCAAATTAAAACACAAAGTCGGAAGAGAAGATGTGAACAAAAAAACAAAAAATACAAACAAAGAGGTATCCTTCTAGATCGCTGCGCCTTGACTACGCCGAGATGCTCATTTCACGTGTGTAACGTCGTGATGGGACTGTTGGTGGTGGCGGAAACGGTGCCTACTCAGTAGTGGCTGCCCGCCATCAAGCCATGTTGTGGCGGCGCCATGGTCATGCCTAGGCCGGGACCAGGAATGTCGTTGATTGAGTGAGACAGGCCAGAGAGGTAGTCGTTGCCAGATTCAGGCGACAGATCGTCCTCGAGCGACTGGAGATGATCATCCTCGCCTTCCAGGTCTTCATCTTGGTAATCGCTCAGCGGCTCGCCGTCAGCGCGGGGCTCGTGTGTGCGACGATGTCTAATAAAACTAAATTAGCATTTTGCTTGTTTGATTGGGTGGTTGCTAGCGAGGAGATAACATACTGGGCAAGGTTGTCTGAGCGTGAGAAAGCCTTGTTGCACAACGGGCAAACGTATGGTCGTTCTTGAGTGTGGGTACGCACGTGCCTAAGCGCCGGGGGTCAGCGTCTATGCAAAACAACCAAAAATAGTGGGGCAAGGAACAACGTGGTGAAACATGAGGCAGAGAAAACAGGAAATTGCGCGCGCTTACCTCTTGAGGTGTTCTAATCTCTTGAAGAGACGACCACATGTGGGGATCGGGCACGAGTGCGACTTTTGTGGGTATGGGCCAATCTCCATCATGGTGGCACTTCGGGCGCGCCTGTAGATGGGGCCGCCAGTGCCAGCGGTACGAGCGATGGCGCTGTGCTGCAGAGGGCTCTCAAACAGCTCACCGTTGACCAGGTTGTTGAGGTCGTCGTGCTGCATAGGAGCTGACTGGGGCTCAGGGTCCTCCTCAACAGTGTTGAGCGGGGTTCCTTGACGAGACATGTCAAAGGCTGGCTTGGACTCTGGCATCTGGGGAGGAGCATAGCTTGCGCCGTTTGCACTGTTGGGCGAGTTGTGTGTGCTCTCGTCGACCTCAGCTAGGGGAACAACTGAGCTTGACATTGACCGCCTCAAGTCACTGGGGCGGTGGACTTGGTGGGCACCGGCACCGGAAGCAGTGACGGCAGCAGCAATGCCAGCAGACAGGGAAGAGCGCCTTCTCCGTTGCTTGTAGGTAGGCGAGCCCTCGATGACCGAGTAGACGTTGCCAGGAGCAAACGGCCTTGAAACACCGGGATAACCAGGGCCCATCAGGTTGGACGGGGGAAGGTTCATCAACGGGTTGAAGGTGTTGGGAGCTGGAAGGTCTGGGATGGCACTGTAGAGACCAGTGTCCTCGTTCGCAATGTATGCAGGCTCGGCACCAAGGCCAATCTGGTGTTGAGGAGGAGTCAATGGCTCAAAGGACATGCCGCGAGTGCTGTAGTCCTCGTAGTGAGAAGAGACAAAGGAAGGCGCAGGCGAGTACTCCATGTATGCGGGCATGGAGCTGTGCCGTTGGTGGATCTGAGACAAGGGAATGCCGTTACGGTCGTACTGGAAAGACTGGCTCATCTCGCGTTGCTCTCTGCTCTTTACAATGTTGTTTGGCATTGAAGGAGGCATTGACATTTGCTGGTGGTAGTGGGCCATTGGGTCCTCGGGATGCATTGGCTGCTGCATCGAAGGCATTGACTGCTGGACGGGCACCATTGTTGGTGGGGGCATCGATTCCATGCTACGCATATCGGGCGATGCGGTGGGGTACGATGGCTGAACGTTGTTGTTGAAAGAAGAAGAGTTTGTTTGTTGAGCCTTGGTGAGCTGCTCGAAAAGCGACTGTGATGAATCGAACTCAAAGGAAAGGGCGGGCTCGCTGACGGCCATGGTGGTGGCCTCTTGGCCCATCTTCTCGCGCTTCAGGTCGCGCTCAAGAGCATCGAGGAAGAGGCGGTCGTGGGGCACGCTGTACCAGTAAAAGACCTTTTGCTTCTTTTGGGTGCGGATGCAGTTGTTCTTGTAGAGAAAGTCGAGGAATGCGCTCTTTGGCTCCTCAAGGGAGGCATCTGTGCCAGACTTGAGGTTGCGCAGATCTGAGAAGATGCCCTCTTCGAACTTTTTCGAGTTCTTGACGGGGCGGCCAAAAGCCTGGAATCTGAATGACAGACATCTTACAATGTCGGTACCGGAAATGTGAAAAAGGTTGTTCCTGCAAAGCGCGGCGGGGTTAGAAGGTGCGGGGTGCAGATGAAGGTGGCGGCAGACTTACCAGAGAACGCACGAGACATACTCGCCAGTGGGGAGCAGGAAGCGGCGAATGTACTGGTCGGGTTGCCAGTCTACAGGAGCGGAAATGAGAAAGTACTTGACTGTGGTGCAGGTGGCGTGTCAGTTTGAATGCGCGCAGGCGGCGAGAGATGCAGTGGGTACACATACGGTTGTCGACCTGCTGCAGGGCAACGACAGAGTCTGGGGGAAGGCTCTGCTGGGCGTCCTGATCGAGTAAGAAGGTCTCAGGTGCGACGGAGCGTGCCTGGGGCGGCGGCATCTGGGCATGGTGGGCGGATTGATACATGGCGGGCTGCAACACTTTTGGGTCTTGTGTTCAGTGGTTTGAGGGAGCCAACGTCAGAGGGCTTGTGCGGGAGGAGCAGCACGTGGAATGGGTCGTCGAGGACCTGCCAGGAGTTGAAAACGAAAGAGTGTCAGGCTATGTTTAAAAGGAGTAGACAATAAAACGCGTGAACGTGAGGCGGATAATAAAAACGTGAGGAACCTGCCTCAGATAGCAGTCTCGAGGATGACCACGAAGGGACGGCGTTGGGAGGGGGATGCGAAACGCAAATCTGAGGGGGCAGCGGCAGCTTTAGGTGTCGGAGGGCGAGTGAAACAGGAGCCTAGTCGTCTCACATTGATCTATTTCCGCACGCCAACCAGCAGCGCGGCCTGTGCGCGTAGCGCGGCCAATTGGGGCTCCGAGGGCCCCGCTCGCGCCCTCCTTGGCGGACAGGGATCATGGCGACTCGTGGGCCGGGAGGCGTGTGCGCACTGGCCTGGCCCGCCGATGCCCTCGCATGCCCATGGGCGGCCGTGGGAGGCCATGCCATTCCCTTTGCATGCATGCCGCGGCCTCCCATGGGTCGACCTGCTGGATGATGATGGATGGATGCACCGGGTGGGACCTGCTGGGACCTGCTGGGACCTGAGCGATGGGTCCTGCTGGCCGCTGGCTGCTGTCTTGCGTCAGTCCTACCAGTCCTGTGATCATGAACACCCACCCGGATACATACGTACGTACATGAACATACATACTTACTTACACCCTATACAGGAAAGGTCCCTTGCCGCCTCTCGGATGCCGCCTTCCTATACTACAATAACACACACACACACACACACATTACTAGTATTTCCTCTGCTATCAGCGGGTCTCATCCATCCATCCATTCCATCACCTTCCACCCCCCCCCCACTTCCTTTTCTTTGCATAACCGCTCATCACATCTCACCTTGCTCTTGCCTTGCTTACTGCGACACGATTATTTTTCTTCTTGCCGCTCCTTGCCGTGGCCGGCACACTCGCCCTATGCCACTGCGACTATCCTGTACCACCACCACTACTCATACACTCGTACTCGCACTTCCCACTGCCCATTACACACACACACACACTACTACCCTCCTTCTACCTACTAGTACCCTTTGCTGCAAGCTAGCCCTCTGATCTACATGTACCAAACACGCGCCCTCCCTTTCCCCATCCTCGGCATGTGCCAGTCTGCTTGGACCGCCCACTCCAACTGCGGACTACTGCTGCAGGTACATCACACCTGCACTCTTGCTCAAATCGCGCTCGTCTGTGCGTCACAGCCAGTCGCAGTAGTAGGCTACCCAGCCTCGCTGCGACTGCTCTGCTCACCACTATCTCCATCCACGGCCGCTTTTCTGTCCATCTCGTACCTACATCCGCACCCACCCAACTACACCACATACAGTCAGATGCACACCAACACCACAAATCGACCCTGCGGTCGTGGTTTGATCTCCATCTGAAACAGCACCCTGAGCCCGCCGCGCGGGAGCGCCCATGGTCTTTTTTGCAAATCTCTTCATGTCCACGTTGCCCTGTCCAAATGCTCTCCCCTCTACCTCTACCTCTGCCTATCCCTATCCCCATCATCCCCCGTCCATGCACTCAATTGATCAGATTGCCTCGTTGCCTCGATGCACTTGGGCTCTTGTCGTCCATACAAGCCCGGCACGCCGTCTGCCACAGCATGCAAGCTCGCTGCTCGGCGTGACGCTTTGCCCGCTCGCCAGTCAAGTGTGGGAGCGGTTTCAGGATTTCTTTTGGGCTAGCCGACATGAGCCGTCGGCAGGTACGATTGGTCGGGGAACTAGTCACTCGCCTTTGCTCGTCTTTGCTCGCCTCGGCCGCATGCCCTGCTGCGTGCAAGCGCTGCCCGCTTTGGGACAACATGGATGCCCGTTGCTCTCGATATTCATGCAATCACTACACCCTGATGTCACTGGCTGACCGTTCCTATCTGATGCCAGCCGCTGCCCTCTTACTCTGGCTTACCCTGCCCTCCCTTACCCTCCACTCACCCTCCCCCTCCCCCCCCAAAAAACGGTGGGGAATTCTGCTACGCAACTAGTAACTCTGCTGCTGTGCGCCCGCCTTCCGCCCGCGTCCGCCCATAGGTGTACTGTAGACACCTAGACCTAGACCTAGACCTCCCTCTCTCCCCAATTCACCCGTCACCAACTACTTGCCGGGATGCTAATAACACGCCGCCACCCAATCTTGCACACATTCGCAATCACACCAGACAGCGTCCATGCTTCTTGACCGCCATCACCTCGCCTTGTTTCCCCCTCTCCGACACATGGCCGGCTCTATATCACACGCCCGTCCATCCAATATTGGCTTTGGGTAGTAAGTAAACATGGGCGCACGTTTCCACACACGCTTGCGCCCGCCAGTGGGACTTGCAGTGCCGCTGCCGAAAACAATTTCCCGCCCTGCCATCTTTTTCGCAGCTAGTCATGATACACTTGTCGGAGCAACCAGCCATTTCGGCTGGTGTGAGATTTGTACCTGCGTTAGCGGTCCTCGAGGTTGCATTTCTGAAACCTATTGGCCCTTAGGCCGACTGCCGAAACGGGTGACGAGCTGCCGCTCAAAAGCGGGCGGGCTGGCCTCGCTAAGACCTCCGTCTTGTAAAATGACATGATGGCAACGTCGCCCCATGATATTAATGTTTCTTGATATAGCCCGCCAACCACTCGGACGCACGTGGCCCAACGTATTCTCCACTGCCACCATTCTGATTCTGTCTCCCTCACAACCACCACAAGAGGCCTAGATGCCATGATTCACGTTCTGTGCACACCAAACGCTATATCAAGTCTATCCGCTTTCGGCCAGACGGTTAGCCTTGGGTCAACCGCCATCGTTGGGCGACTGGGTTCACAAACCCAAAGCAGCCCACGAGGCTGGCAACTCTAGCCGTTTGCCAGCCACAATCTACATTCGTAATTCCCCTTTTCTGTCCCTGCTTCTGCTTGTCAACGTGAACGTGAACGTAAACGTGGGCGACCCCATGCCTCCCCCCCCCTCCCCCCCAACCAGTTCACACGAATACGGGTAAATGCGACAAACTGCAGCCCACACACCCATCACCCCCCATCGCCGTTGATCTTTGCCAGCCACCGGTTTACGGCAGGCGTGACGAGCATTGCCATTATTCATACACCTACATGCGCCCTACCAGCAGAGACCCTGTAGCCGATGCTGCGTCGTTTGCGCCCTCTTGGTCGTCGTTTTCGTCGTCGATCTGCTATCCGTGTATCAGATATTGAGGGTCTGTATCAGACTGCCGCCAGTTTCATCTCCATCACCCACTTGCACAAGAGGTCTGGTCCATCAAAGCAACGTAATCGTTGTTGCATTCTGCCATCACAAGACTACCCGACGGGTACACTCCCGGGCTGATCTTGACGATCATCTTCGAGAAATCCGGGGCGTTCCTTTTTGTGCTGATGCTTCGGCCGGCGTCCAAACATTACATGTCTTGCATAACCATTGCTCAAGCGAGCACGCTCGCCTGTCCAGATCGCGAGTCTTGCCCGCTCCAGTAACAATCCATCTTCTTCTGGAACGTTTCCACGTCCGTTCAGCTGCTGAGTTTGATCTAACGCATTGCAATTGCGCCATCGATGCCGACAACATCATGCTGGTGACTTTTAAAGTTCCTTAGCGGACACAATGGTCGACTAACCAAGCCAAGTCACCAACTCGTCGTTAGTCCCTTCTTCATGCGGAAATCATGACACATGGACGACCCAAACCCTAATTCTAATGCTAAGCGACTGCAACTACTCGTAGCTAGAGGCGGCCCGCGAAAAAAGTGCATCGTGTCAGTGCATCGTGTTCCATCAGCCTTGGGGAACAACACTCAGCTTACAAGCTGACCAGAAGCAACGGTGCATCTGTTTCAGCTTCGTTCGGGAACAATGGTAGACCACGAGGCTGACTTGCTGTCTCTGAATACCACCGGTGCTACTCGGTCGAGACACTCTCTGGACGGGTCAACACGGTCTCCCAATTCCGCGGACCGCGATCATGTGGCATTCCAAATACGGGCCGCCGTGGATTTTCGGACGTGAGTCGGTGGTGCATTTCGTTGCTCGGTATAGCCCGCGAAGATCAGTAGATCCGGTTCTTGCGACACTTGCGGCCAAATGGCTTTAATTGAGGAATAGGGCATATCGCCGGTGAGTCCCTCGAACAATGATTCAAGCTTTCAATACTCTCAACTCAGGGGCAATGAAAGAGTCGCCCCACCGTGGAACAATAAGGACAGGCACTCGCAGCTATAGAATCGGGCAAACCGCCGAACATGACCGCAAAAAAAAAACGGTGATTGTCGGAAAGAACATCCGGGAAGAACCGAAGCGAGCAATCGCAGTGAATAAACTGACATGAAACTCTCCGAAATTCGTCATCAGCAGTGGCAGTTGTGCAGACATAGGTTGCTCATGGATGCAATCGAGCAACAACCACCCGTCCCCAGGTTGTGAAATTGGGGGACATCTGCATAGGGGTCCAAGTCCATCCCGATCCTGCGCACCTGATTGACCCTTGTGTCGTTGTGATTCCCTCACCACTCCTAGTCTGGACCCTGCGCAAGTGGGCTGGCGTCGTATCGAGCACATGCTCTTCCCCGTGTACAAGGCCTTGGGTTTGTGGCTGCTATCGTCTGCATCAAGGTGACCGCAGTGCGGCCGTAGTGCGAATAGGTGCAACCCCCCGTTCACCAATACAATGATTTCCTTAACCCTAATCTGCCAATTATTGCTACCGGTGGCAAGCCGACGAATGCATGCAAGAACCACCTATATGTGAGTTCCAAATGACTAGGTTCCGTACGTTGACCGGCGTGACACTGATGGGCCGAATCGAGGCTGTACCGTGGACCATTTTAACGGCAGCGGCTGTTCAGCTCCCTTAAGTCTAACCTCCGGCTACATAATCTTGTGTCTAGCGCATATAATTGAGTTCATCTTGATGGCGGCCTGGATATACCATGCGAAATCTTGTCTGGTGTTGAGCAACCTGCAAGGCCAAGGAGAAACCGCAAGCATTGGGTTGATTTACTCCGATATGTGTGTATATCGCTATCAAATACCTCAGTGTGGAGATGTTTCCGAAAAGGTAGGCACGTACATACGTACATGCAGTATTGTGTAGTCCGTTCAACAGCGTCCTGCATGCGGCCACTAGCGCATCTTGGCATGGCTCCCACAGTAGCTACGAAGCCTCGTGCTGAAGCTCTTTGAAGCGACCACGAACCCGCGAATGCTTCCGCATCCATGACCCCCCTATCTGCGGCGAGGGCCATATCGCCTTGCCACATCCCTGCAGCTCTCCCACGCACCTCAATTGGACTAGGAAGTATTTTCCGGCCCGCACATGGTTGGCCCTCTTTGTACCTGGCTGCCTCACGTGCTTCTGGAACCTGGGCTCGTAATGACGTAAAAAAATACCAGCACCGCAGAGTTGTGAGAAGCTCGGCCTACGGGCAATGTGGTCAGGGGCATGTTGGACTGTTTAGCACATCGACAACGCGGAGACTGGGTATCGAGGACAAGGCAAAGGAATCGTCGGCTTCTCGAAATAATGCAGAGGTAGGTTTGTGCGCGTCCTGACATCATCACTCTGATGGTTGTCACGATACTTCAAGGGCCGAGAATCACATGATTCTATCAACAAGGGCTTTTTGGCCTGTAGTATCTTCTCCAATTCGAAGCAGCAGTCTGTTTGGTTGTTTTCTATATCACTGTTTGTCACATATACTGCACCTACATTTTATTTTATTTTTGTATTCTGTCCAAGTCATTCAATATCCCGTCTCGGCCTACATCCGACTGCATACGTGGTACTTCAAGCCCATGAAGAGAACATTAATACTAACAATGAATAGCAACATGTTCCATCTACTTCGGCATCCGCCAAACTCGCCACAACCATCAAATCTACGCTCAAACTCGACAAGCCTCGCCATGAACAAATCTACAATCTACCCAACATGCTTACTTTCTCCCGCCTCATAGCAACTCCTGCAGTCGGCTACCTTATCATTCACGACCAGCATCTCTATGCGTTCTCCCTCTTCGTCTACGCCGCCTTTTCTGATCTTCTCGACGGCTGGATTGCCCGCCGCTGGAACCTACAGACTGTAGTCGGTAGCGTAGTCGACCCCATGGCCGACAAATTTCTCATGACAACACTGGTAACATGTCTCGCCGTAAACGGAAGCCTACCCATGCCACTAGCCTGCCTCATCCTCGGAAGAGACGTCAGCCTCGCCATCTCCGCCCTCTACTACCGCTACGCCAGCCTTCCAGCACCCAAGACCATGGCACGCTACTGGGACTTCAGCCTCCCGAGCGCGGAGGTCCACCCCACCACCGTCTCCAAGCTCAACACATTCCTCCAGCTAAGCTTGCTCGGCACTTTGCTTTGCACAAACTTGCTGCACGACCCCTCCGCCACCACCTCCGCGGCGGGTGGCTTGCTCATGTCGATCCAGGACGTTTTGGGCGGCGAACAAGGCGTCAAGACGCTGGTCCAAGGCATGTCTGCTATTGTCGCTTCAACCACCATCTACAGTGGATTAGAATACACGTGGTCTAAGAAGGCTGTCGTCATCCTTGGTGGTGATGAAGCGCTAAAGAGGAAACAGGGCTTCCGCGGAAGAATGATTATGGCAGCTGGCTTTGGCTCTTTCATCTCTCTTGCTGCGTATTTTTGGGTCAATCGTAGGGC